GTATGAGATTTCCGTTCTTTTTCAAATGGTCTGGGAACAATCAAAGGCACACTTTAAATAACTGGAATTTCCCAACATTGATAATAGTGGAGATAATAGCTGAAGACAAAGAACTGAACTTCTTTAGATGTAACAGCAGCAGTGACAAGATAACATAAATCACCTTTAGCCAGCACATCCCCGTTAATGCTTATAACTAGTATCTTCAATGCTGTAAAACATTTTTCAGAAACTCACTTTGGTTTCACATTGTGCTGCTATTTCTTCAAATGGCGCTTTTTGGAACTTTTCAATCACGAGACGCCTTTTTTCTTTTTCCTGTTCTTCAAGTCCATTGTTATCTTAAAAAAAAAAAAAAAGAAGCAAAGGTAATCTTTGTATTTCAAGTATAAGTGATATAAACCTTCAAACGTGCACTGCAGAAGCAAACAAGCACTGTATTTGAAATGTTGCAAGCATACTCAAAAAGAGCTGCCATCTGTCATTGCTTCTAAAGCAAAATGCAGATACAAGTTCAGGAAGGGTTTGAGGACCCCAGTTTTGCCCCTTTCTTACTATGTGCTTTTAATTATGAGTACATCCAGGCTTCCTTTTGCTTTATTATCTGGACTCAAGATTGCACTTGTCACTCACTGCACACAAGTTCAGCTTCAAGAAAAAAGAAGGGAGTATCCTCCCTCCCAGTATCATGCAGACAGGTAGGCAGAATTTTCTATTAAAATTTGTGAAAAGCGAGTTCAACCTCTATAGGCTGAGTGAACTTACAACCAGCTGGAACTTTCCAGCACCTAAAGAATCTCAGTGATTAGGAAGGTTTGGGAAACTGTCAGACTGAATTATTGTTTAAAATGTCAGTGTTGAGTGTTTAAAACATCAATGCCTACTCCGTATTTTTGACAGGATTTTGGTGGACTTGACAGCATTAATTAGTAATTACTTATAGTGATATGAAATAAGCAAAGTGGATAATTCTGCGTTCTGGTAGCTGGATCACTTGACAGAAAAAATATTCTTTTATAAAACTGAGTGTTTTTGAAGTGCACAATGTGTACTTTACAATCTATTTTCTGAATGCATTGAAGCCCTGAAAATCTTAATATGTAAAAAACATTTAAGCTGCTTTATACACTATCACTCAATGGAACCTGAAAATCTCATGTTACTTATAGCTTGGACTATAAAATTTAATAGAAAACAGGCATTCCAGATGCTTTTCATTCAGCCACATTAGCTTCAGAAAATTAATTCACTAAAATTATCAAGATATCATTTCAGAAATTTAGAAATTACTAACTGAAATTTTAAATAAATTTACTAGCTGAAGAGAAGCAAATGTAATATTTTAATTATGGTATTCTGGCAACATCTTTTTCTCTAGCAATTCCACAGTAATCTAAAACTGTGCTGCACAAACACAATTGTAGTAAGTCTTACCAATTGCTTTCTTCAAAGCTTCAAAGGTGATTTCTTCAGTATTATCAACCTAAACACAAAGAAACAAACCCCCTTAAACCTCCCATAAAACAAGCTTCTAAAAAATAAGGAATGTGATAAAACAGAAGGCCAAAATGTCTACAGAACTTTTCTGCCTTAATAGCTTTATGGAGTTTCTGTGACAGCCGACAGATCACTAATTCATGTTTTTAAGCCACTGCAGTTAGTGAGGAAATTTTTATCAAATGAGATCAACGAAAACTTTCCAAAGACGCACTATGGCAACAATACTTTGGAGAAGGGCTTGAATTTTGGCAGAACACTCCTTTGGTTCAGGAATATGCTGTGGCGTTTCTATACTGTTAAGCTTCGGTTCCGGTTCTTAGTCAGCTGTTGCGAATAACAGCAACTGCTTCCCGAGACTAGTTGAGCTACCAGCAATGCGATACTAAAACAAGAGATGGTAGTGGCAGGTAGAGTGGAGAACGGTTATTGCTTTAGACTAACTTCGTACCAGTATGGGCTCCAAATAATTTGGTGCTTACGTCATAAACACTGGAGCTAAAGGGCCCTTCGTAACAAGCTATGTCTGATGCACTGAGAAAATGTGCTCATTTAGCAATATGAATATCCATTTGCTGCTGCAGATGTACTTCACTAGGAATTGCTTGGGGCTGCAAAATTACTGAATTACTGAAGACACATGAACATTACTCTGAAGAGCTCCAGCTCAGGGATCTTTGTGTTTCAATTCTTCATAGACCTACAGTTTCTGTATCAATAGGTATATTTACAGTGAAACTACTGTGATAACATTAGGGGAGAACGCTTAGGTGGCAGAACAGTGTTTCTTGGCTTGGATTGCCTTACTTTAATCCTTCTAAACTAACTACATGTAAACAGGCACCACTTTTGTTTTTCCTTATGAATATTAATTGTTTAGAATGGTCTCATACGATTTAAAATAGAAGATCTGTAAGGTAGCAAAAAGTTATTTCATAAGACCCCGAATTCTTTCAGTTTTTTAATTCATTGACTTGACGTCCTGTAAATGGAAAAGCCAGAAGAAGTAGCTGTTTCCTTTCTACATCAGTGTTATTTCAGGAGATGGAGCTGTAAATGATACTTTTCTAACAGATTTTACTACATTAGCATTGTATTCTCTACCTCTGAATATATAAAAAGTTAATAAACAGCAAAAAAATCTTTATGTCAAATATTTGTGGATATGGCTAGAGATAAGAAATATTCAGGTTTTTAAATAATCACCTTTTATAGGATTCATATTTGGCAAATATTACTTGTTTATGGCAGCCTTTCAGATTTCTAATTAACATCCGTAGTAGCTGCTGCTATTAGCAGCATTATATTTGTTTATTCACAGAATCACAGAAACACTAGCTACTTTTACAAGTGCTTTCACCTTATAAATTGAGGTAACTATGGAATAAACCATCTTCCTGAACAGGATTCTCTAACAGACTTGACACAACAAAAAACTTTGATTGTGCCGACAAAAGGATAGCATTTGTATTGTATACAATAATAGATATTTTATGGATAAACAGTCTTCTACCTCAGACAGTGTAGAAATGATAACCATACATCATTAATCCTAAAACTTAATTAAGCAGTTTATTCCCTCAATCATAAAGACTTATGCTCACTTATTTTTTTTTCAGTTTAATTCTGCTGACGGTTATGGATTATGTTACAGTACTTGCTAATCTACATAGCAAGAGAACCAGATTTAATATCCTTGTGGAGCTTTTTCTTTTTTTCCTCCTCTTGAGTTATATCCAGTGTATCATACTATGTTGCAGGTGGCCAAAAACACACATTATAAGGGAACAAGAATTAGTAAAAATTACAGAGCACCATTACTGAAGGGAGAGGCTGCCCAGGGAAGTGGTTGAGTCACCATTCCTGGAGGTATTTAAAAGACACGTAGACGTGGCACTTGGGGACATGGTTTAATGGTGGACTTGACAGTCCTAGGTTAATGGTTGGACTCGACGATCTTAAGGGTCTTTTCCAACCTAAATGATTCTATGATTATCTTTTTGAAGGAGCATAATACTGGAGCCTCACCGTGACAGAGAAGTTCATTCTGGTCTATCTACCAGTTTTTCAGTTGTTCACAATGTAGGTATCAAGGTGTAGTCAGCAAAATGGAAAATACTGTTTTCCCCTTTGCATTGTAAACAAACATTGTAAAGTAACTAAAGGAGGAATAATTTTTCACGTGTTTCTGATTAATAAAATTCTTGTTTTTAAGAGAGACAAACAGTAATTCATTATCCAAGACACTGTACCACATTAAACTGAGATTAAATACAAAGGCTTTTACCTACAACTGCTATATCCTCTTCAAAAAATGTCTATATATCAATGCTTAACATAACAATGCTTACCATAGTCATTTGAAATCTGAAATGGAAACTTCTCTCGTTTAATTTCACTTTCAAAAGAGATGCTCAATCATGTGTAATGACATATAATACATGATTTTAAAATAGGATACGAATAGCAAACACCCTAATTCCTATTAAGAGCATTTACTTCCTTCAGAAAGCTAAAGATTGTGATAATCTGTCTTATTTTTCAAACACTTGTTTCTTCTTTCTCCTAAACTTTTATCTATCTTATCTGTATCCTTACCAAAGCACAATAGCAAGAAGTGAACACAAAATATCATGAGGTATCATTAGCACAAAGCAGAAAGGAATAATAACAATGATGCAAAGCATAAATCACTTATGTCACTAAGATCTAAAATGAGGCTTGCTCCTTTGCAATAGCTTAATATTGCATTTTTGACTAACATTCAGCTTGACAGTGTCCACATATTCTGTTTCATGTCCCTAGCCGGTTGGCACTTGAAAATGCTAAAGGTAGGATTCATTTACGGGTACAAATCCCTCAATTTCAACATCTAATCTCAATCACAGTGAACAGAGATCCAGTTAATAAAAATTAGCTGAACCTTGAAAAAGATTCAGTAGAAACAGAAATTTATTTTAAGAAATACTTCAAATGAAGTGTCAAAAGATGTGGGATAATTTTAATTAGAATGTCTTCCTAAGGGTTAATTAGCATCAGCTGCTGTACCCTACATATGAACTTTTTGTTGCTACCTTATCTTTCCCATGTCTTTAAAGCATGGTGTGTTAAACTCTTCTGGAAGGGAAAAGTAACACTCTAACGCTGTGGTGTAAGTAGTCTGCCCAGCCTTTACCTGCCCCTCTTAAAGACAGCAGGTTTCTCACTAGTCTTATATCTGTCAGACCCATGTTGATGAACAAGACTCTCAGATACTTCAAATGACGCAGGGATACAGATGCAGGAACTTATTTGATCCCTCAAAATGCAAAGAAAATATTTTAGAATATTTACTCATAAAATATTAGTTGTTCAGCATATTTATCTATTGCTACCCCATATTCTGCAGTACTGTCTCTAAAAACTATAGTGACAAAAGACTTTACATTTTTATACAGCACAACCAGTGTCAGTGTCTTTTGACAACACATTACTACAAACATAGGAGTTAAAGAAAAATCAAAACCCGAAAGCATTTATCATTGCTAGAACAATTAGATATAAGACTTTCTGGGAAAACTTCATTTGCATTCCTCCTCCGAATATGCTGCTTTAAAATATCCTGTGATTTTCATACCTTATCCTCTGTGTTGTTGCCAGGCAGAATATCCACCTGAATAGATACAGTGTCCACAATGCTCTTCCTCCTGGAGAGTCTGTCCTCATCTAGAAGAAAAACAACTTACCTCACTTTTTGTACAACAGTTAAAACATGATCAATCAAATTTCTACACATCAGATGCAGATTTGTTTCTACATGCCTGTTTACCCCAAGATCATCTAGTTTATCATTTGAATTGTTGTGAAAAATGATGAGTTACTGCTCTAAATTATTAAATGTGAAGGAAAATAACCATTTTACTGTGTCTTCCACCTCTCATCCCAGATCTTGCTATCCTTCCCTTAAAAGGCCAGAATTTTAAAAAATTAGATGAGCTCTTATTCAAATGCATAATAAATAACATATATATAAAATATATAACATATATATATATAATAAAGAACATAGTAACATGATGATATATTGCTGCAGAGTAATTTACAAAAGCCTGAACTTATATTTTTGGTTGTGAAATGGAAATGTTAAGGTCTTAATCTGAAGGTATTCTAAAACAGAAAAGGGCTTCTTGGAAGATGACTCATTGACAGAATAACGATTTCTCACTGGAAATTAACAATCCTTCCTTATTCTTGTTGATACAAGTACCATACTCAGAGAGTCTAAAAATCTACCAAGTGAAAAAAATTCTCTCCATTTCTGACTTCCTACAAATATTTCAGTAAATCCAGCTGGCCTAAAAATTTGTCATAGGTTGACCCACTGTACCAATACTAAAAGGAGCACCACAATTTTGTTAATGCATAAGCAGATTATGATCAAATGATCCTTTGAGTTGATGGATTTTCCTTTTGTGACTGCATTCCTCAGACAATACACCAATAATCTTTTCTCATTTTTGACATTTACAATTAAGAAAAAACAGTAAAAATGCATTTCCAGAGGTGTCATGAAGATCCTCTGACAAATGGAGACTTGACTGGCCTGACTTCCGTGCATCTTATTTAGAAAATCATCAATTGCCATATCACATTTTAGATTTTAGCTGAGATGAAGCCATTTGGACCTGGCCATTATTATGATGACTTGCACTGCACGTAGTTAGAAGCACCTACAGGCACTTGATACTAAGATAAGGAGAATGACTGTAAAACTCCCCTATCACAAGGTAATTTATGCTGGTTCTTCTGCAACCTTTGTTTAAATCATTTCTAGCAAAGCACTTCTGCAGTGCAAATATTGAGCATGAACAAACAGAATTCATTCCAGCACAGCTGAACATACTCAGCTTTTAAAAAACCAAGAAGAATCAGAAGTCACATAAATAAAATGGCATTTGAAGATCAAGAGGCAGTGAAAGAACAAGATTAGTGAAAAACACCTGAATTCTAGCTATCTTTGCCAGGTTCTTGGAGGCCCTGAGCATTTGAAGTGGCATTTTGAAGGATTTACTGAATTTTTAAATCCCTGACGGCTCACTGGTACATGACCCAATACATAGAGTCTGAGGAAAGCACCTTAGCCCTCAAGAGTAAGCACAAGACAAAACTACATCTTTGCTGCCATCTTGCTGCTCTCTCTATAATTGACAGGCAAACACCAAAAGAAATTTTTGGGACTACTTTTGATAGAATTAATTTTTATAATGGATGCCTCACTATACTTCTCTAATAAAAATGCTCATTCTTCTCTAATTTCAACACATTATGTGAGTAAAAAATTGTGAAAATGGCAATTTTTTCTGTTATACGATATAAAGCTTGTTCTCCACGCACACGAAGGCGCCCAGAGGCACAAGGCCAATGGTGGACCCCCAATACCCACAGCCCCAGCCCCTGCCAGGGTTGTCCTGGGAGTCTTGGCCCCACGATCGAAGGGTGGCACCCACCCCATGGGGCAGTGGGAGCAGCTCTCTGGGTCATCTCACTGTGCAAGGCAGGGTCAAGTGCCTGGGGCATGAGACACTTTGTGGGATGGAGGGGAGCAGCCTCTTGGGATTGCACAAGGCTTAGTATGGGATGTTTAGGGGAGGAAGCAAGGGTGGGGAAAAGGAGGATTGACATGGTTTGGGGAGGAGCAAGCAAGAAAAAGAGAGGGATAAGGGGTTAAAGGCATCAGTCCCACGTAAACCCGTGGCTGATCAGTACGCGCATCTGGCCATGCCCTGAGCCTCATCAGTGCAGACTGTCCCGGCTTCTCATTAAATCCCATTTCTCTTTTCCTCGGTGAGGGACTCTTTATTATTTATGCAGGCTTGTGTATGGGGGTCTGAGCGCAGCAACTGGAGTCAGACCACGGGTCAGAGGACCTGTGTGTCTGGCACGAGTAAAGGTGCACAGCATCAGCGCGTGATCACGAGGGAATATCGGAGTGGACCAGTAGGTGAGTAGGTCAAGTGGTCTAGGAGCTGGAGGCGTCCGTGTGTGTCTGGCTTGCTTCGTGTCTCTGAGGAGGAGGCACCTGGAGGGACTGGGAGGCCCAGGCCAACCGTCACAAAGTCCATGGAACCTTGGGGGTCGACCAAGAGCCATGTGTGCACACGCGTGTGCATTACTGTGCACAAGGGGGATCTGTAGCAGCAGCTAGACTGGGACTGTGGGCCCAGCAACTGGGGAGACTGGGAACCAGGAGACAGCTGGTGGGTAGGCAGTGTCTAAGCCTAGCTACTGGCAGGATGCACACAGAACATATGCACGTATACATGTCCCACTAATGGACCTTTATCCTGAACAGCCAGCAAGCAAGAGGAAGCATCTTACTGTTCTGTGAACAGCTGTGAGCTTCTTCCAACTTTCTACCAAGTTCTTGTAATTCCACTCAAAATGGTAATTAGTACTGTCACAAGAATGATACCTATAGCCCTACTACCTGCTCAGGAAAAGAAAATAGGAAGCAAATATACCACAGATTTCCAAATCAAGAGTAAACACAAAGGCAAACGTTGCAGCAGCTAACATTGCTACAGGTATATCAAGGAGATAAACAAAAAAAAGCTGAAGGAAACACTAAGTACAACACAAACATGATTTCTGGCCTAAAGGTCTAAAGGCCTTCTAAAAGCATACTGTTTTTTTGAGTGTGCACATCCTATACGCACATCACAGCTAGCAGGAGAGCAGGCTGACCTACAACTCATTTTTACCTTTTGTATTGTGTCTGCATTTATGAGGTTTTTTGCCTGATGGAAATAGAGCTAAATTAAAAAAAAAAATTATGTATGTATAGACAAAAAATGACTAAATGTACATTTAAATTATCATCTTCCCTCCTACCCAAATAAGGAAGGCAACAAAGTACAAAAAATATGAATGTCTTGCAAACTGATAAGAAGTACCAAAAACTGAAACAGAGACAGTATGAAGGTTTTGTGTCTATAAATCGCTGTCAAGCACTACATCATTAATATTCAGAAATACTAGAAATAATTAGGATAAAGTCTTGACTGGCATTTTGGGTTCAACCATAGCTTTCACGGGAATATACAAAAAATTGATCCATCTTTTACTAAAATTATTGATATAATTTGAAACATTATATTCTAGCATTATAATTTAGTAGTAGCAATCAAACATTTCAGTCAATAAAAAAATTTTAGAATTCCAAAATATTCACTTTGGTCCTGATTTAGTTAAACAAAAACCTTGGAAGCTCAACATCTCACAGGATCAGAGATTAATGATCCTAATCAGATATGACAACAGACATGAAACCAGTGTTGGTTACTGCTCTTTGCAAAAGATTATAACACAAAAAACCCCCACCCATCTAATTCACACACTCTAAGATCTAGCATTAAATATGGCTGTTTCTCATCATCTGAAGAAGCAGTTAATTACATACTTGCAGCTAAACTCACTTAACCTTGTCAGAACTTACATTTCTTCCTGTGTAGGAATGCATTTTTATGAAAGTACCCAAGAAAACCCTAGCAAGGTTATTTGGGTATAAATACATCTCTTTTTCTAGAAGACGCTTAACATAGATTTCCAACTAGGCTATCTTTCTCATTCCGTTCTCATTCACTCACTGAAAGACAGTAAGAATTGAAAACGTAACATTTCCTTACTTGCTACCTACCTCTTCTGCCAATACTAAAATACGATGTTAACTAGTTTTTTGGATGCCAGAAGAAATAATCTGTCAAGTATAGCAACATTTTCCTTTTTAGAAGATGACAACCAGCAACAGAAAACAGAGATTACAGCTGTGTCTCAGAGCATGTCATTAGTTTGCCTGCTAGCATAGGGGACAAAACCACATCTGCTGTTCTGAAGAACTCATTCCCTCCCATAGCAGCTATCCAAAAAACACTTATGCAAAGGCAGGCAGCAATGTCTCTGAATCGTACTGCAAGTGTGACAGATCTGGCATTCACTGTCCGTATGTACTACGTTTCTTTCTATGCATGAGCTACAAAACATGGGAATCATATTTTCCTGCTAGGAACTTTTATTTCTCAAAAAAGTCATGCTTCAGACTGGGATGTCCCATAGCCTATTCAAATAATAACCCGTTATGTACAGCCACAAAACATGCACAGTTGGTAAAACAAATACTTAAAAAATTTTTTTCAGTAAGTTGCTCAATTGGCTGTTGGAAATATATTAAAAGTGGAAAATGCACAATGTCATATATTCATGCATCCTGGGTGGCACAAACTCTCACAAATCTTCCTCAGGCATACTTTATTTTCATTGTATTATCTGACACTAAACTATCATAGGTATCTAATGGAGGAAAACATAACATTCTTGATTAAATTAGCATCTGCTTGTTGAGAATTTGACTAAGGCAAATAAGTCAGCATAAGGCCAGATGGCAAAAGGATGGGATATATTCCATCCAGTGTTTACATAAAAGGGATAAAGTATGCTAACTTGTGTAATCCTTCCTCACCTGGTAATTCAAATTAATACAGAAAAACATTAATAATCACCACTATCTTCTAGGTATTCTTTCAAAAATGAAGACTTCATTACAAAGAGTTGAAGTGGGTTCAAGAACTTTCTGTGTCACCTCCTTAATTTAAGGGGGAAAAAAAATCTTAAAGGACACCAAGTTGAAATTTCTTAGCAATAATACAATAGCTAGTGAGAAAAAAACAAAATTATACTATGATTAAATTCCGTTGCCAAGTAGTCACATGACATTTCATTGGCACAAAACATATCAAGAAAGCATTCTTAATAACTGGTACTTAGTTGTTTTGCCACTAATCACCACTTACCTGTTACCTGGGGTACATATGGAACTGACAATCTTTCCACACTGTATCCACTGCCTCCTAATGATTCTGCAATCTTGTTTGTCAGGAAAAATAAATTTTTTTCATGCTTCTCTAAGGATTTTGGAAGACTGTCAAAATATATATTTGAAGTTATTATCTATCAACAGAGATTTTTTTCATTAAATAAAATATTTTGCCAATGTCTGCAAGCAACCAAAATTGGTCAATGGTAATGATTTGATGGAAACAAAACTTGCTCAGTTTTTTGGAATGAATATGCACCCCAAAATGAGTTCACTGAATACCTCTGCAATATTTTAAATTACCTTAACACTTCTTGGGTATCTGAAATATGTTCCTCACCTATTCTGCTACATCTTGAGAGAATGTGGTTTCTGTTAAATAGAAAAAACTGCAGATTAATAGTATTTGCCATTTGCCAGCAATGTGCCCTCATGGCAAAAGAGGCTAAGGGTATCCTGGGCTGCATTAGAAGTTCTGCCAGCAGGCGAGGTGGGTGATCCTTCCCCTCTACTCAGCACTGGTAAGGCCACACCTGGAGTACTGTGTCGAGTACTGTGTCAAGTGCTGGGCTCCCCAGGACGGGAGAGACATAAGAGTCCAACAAAGGGCCACTAAGATGGATTAAGGGACTGGAACATCTCTCCAATGAAGAAAGATTGAGAGAGCTGGGACAGTTCAATACAGAGAAAAGAAGGTAGATCTTATCAATGTGCACAACTACCTTAAGGGAGGGAGGGTGGAAGGACAATAGGGCCAGGCTCTTTTCAGTGGTGCCCAGTAACAGGACCAGAAGCAATGGGCACAAACTGAAACACAGAAGGTTCTGTTTGAACATCACGAAACATTTTTTTACTGTGAGGGTGACCAAGCACTGGCACAGGTTGCCCCGAGAGGTTGTGGAGTCTCCATCCTTGGAGATATTCCAAAGCCATCTGGATGTGCGTCTGGACAGTGTGCTCTAGGTGACCCAGCTTGAGCAGGGGGGTTGGAACAGATGATCTCCAGAGGTCCCATTCAACCTCACCCATTCTGTGATTCAGTGAAAAATCATTTTTCTGTTTTAGCACTTACACCAAGCATCATACTATGCAGATCTAAGAGCCTCTGACTACAATACAAAAAGTCTGAAAACCACATTTTTTTCAGATATGCATATATGCTTGGTTTTCTTCTGCCTATCCTGTACACTATTAAACTTCTAAATTATTTTTCCCATATGCAACTTATTTCAATTATGTGTGATTTTTAATAGTAAAAGAGGTACTTCACTGTTCATTAATTCACATTCTATATCTACTTACTTGCATTTGTCTTTGAAAATTGTTTCTGGTAGAAAGTAAGATGCTTCCAGACTTCTAGTTTCGATGACCTGAAAAAAAACAAGACAAGTAGTACAAATGGAATAGTTCCATAGCTATTTTCTCCAACGGCTAAACTGATTAAAGAGGTTCTACTGTAGCAGATTACCAATCCTCCACTAATATCCACTTCAGCACAAATGAGACCTTTAGAATTTTTTTTAACCAGAGAAAAAGATTGTGGCATTCACCCTTTAGACTAAAAATCTGGTTCCCATGGTCTTGTGCATGTCAGTACTGTTTTACCAAAGCCAGTGAGGCTGTAAAGTCTTATACCAGATGGGGATTTAGCCCATTATATAAGGTACCATAAACAAAATAAAAATGCTATACCTTGAGAGAGAATATTCTGTGCATGATTTATGAGTCATCAAGTAATGCAATGACAGACCAAAGACAATGAGCAAGGTTGGTGGACACAAATACAGGAGATCAACACCACAAGCAATTACTTGACAGAAGTTATTTACCTACTTTACAGTAGACTGTGTATTGTTCTAAATGACTTAAATTGCTTAATTGTGTGTTACCTTGCTGACATGCTGGCAAAAGGCAGGAACTGCAATCATCTGGCTCAGAAAGTTTAGATATGCTGCAACCAATGCCATGACACCACAACGATTAAACATTGGCAGATTATCTTCATTGATGATGGCAATGTCCTGAAACATAAAGGATAGCATTATACAGTTAACAGGCTATTCCAAATATATGGAAGTCAAAATTATTATCAGTAACACTAGCTGGTTATGATGATGACTATCTGGCATTACTTAGCATTTAATACCTCGCATCTTAAAATTCAAGTCTTTTAGCTCACTCCTGAATTAGGTATATATTGATCTGAAATTAGCCTGAAGGATTCAACCTCTATGAAGAGAAATAAGTCTACTCAACTCAGACTTCTGTTTCCCAGAAAGAGAGTACAGGTTAGTGACTGGTAGTCTCTTGTCCTTACCACCTGCTGATCGTAACTATTTTTCAGGAAAACTAGAAACAGTAGTTTAATAATAAAAATCACTCTTGTGACCACAGCTACAGTACCATAAATGGAATTATTTAATGCTTATTAGCATTTCTATGTTTATTTAGATGTATTATTTTAGTTTTAATAAAACACTAATGACATTTTCATCACGTAAGGATCTGGTTCAGTGACATTTTAAAATTAAGGATGCACTCTGCATTTCAGAGGTTTCATGACGCAGGTGCACATTAGGGAATAAGGCTAATGATGGAGAGTGAACTGGGAATACAAGACACAATTTCACTAAATTTCCATGGCACATGCTAGCACTATTTTTTTTGAATGCTTACATTTCAACACAGGTAAACCTACTGAGGACTGTATGCAACTAGGAAATAATGTTTGATCCTGTAGAGAAAATCTTAAGGAATAAAGCCTATCAACACATTGAAAGAATTTTACTCTTAAGGTAAGATTAAATAGCCTAGTTTGACAAATATTTCCAAACAACCAATTAACCACAAGCTTTCTTCCAAAGTGAGGAGAGTCCATATATTTTATACAGAACATTGATGCAAGATCACAGGTTGTAAGAATATTTTGTCAATCTGCTAAAGAATGTATCAGTGATTCTAGGGAATGTTTCAACAAATTTCCACATCTGCTGTATTTCCTGAAGAGAACATGCTGTAGAAGTTTGTAACAAATCTCATTAGTTGAAGCTTCCCTATTAATGTGTTAGGTATACAGTGCGCTTCCTTAATGGATCTATGGATGTGATTTCCAATTTGAAGATCAAAATGCAAACAGGAAAATTTATCCACATCTCCAATTACAAATATAAATTGTTAATCAATGAACTCAACACTGATTCAGATTCATACCTGCAAAGCAATAGCTAATCGAATGAGGTCAATTACCACTTCTTCATTGGCTAGTTCAATTGTGGTAAGAGCTAGAGATGTAAACAGCAGTTCAAAATTTTTTTGTACGTTGTCTTCTTCTTTGCAGCCCAAGTAGATGTGTCTGTACAACTGCTGGCCATGCTATAAAAGACAAAAAAAGGGAAAATTAAAATCACAGAATAATTTAGGTTAGAAAGGATATTTTAAGGTACTCTAGTCCAACTCCCTACTCCAAGCAGGGCCAACTTTGATGTTAGATGATTTTAGATGGAGAATTAAAAAAAAAAAAAGATAAAATACATGTATACGCATACATACACAAACAAGTACATGATTAATCAAGGAGCCCACTGGTTTACTACCATAACAGCAGCTTCTTTATAAACACAGTACTGTTCTGTTTTCTGTAGAAGAGTACAGATAGGGAAGATGATAGAGAATTGCACATGAATGCTGCACTGTCTGTCAGACACTGGCATTCATTTCCTATTGAAATAGATTTTTAAAAATTGCCCATTTCAAAAGGAGAAAATAAAAAGTTCTTAAAACATTCTCAAGAACGTTCAAGTAGCTGAGGAGCTTCAAGGGTTATCCTTGTGAAGACATCAAATTTGTTCATTAAGCAAGTCTCCCTGAATAGCAAATGAGAAAAAATTCTTCTAGAGGGTGTTTCAGAAGATGACTAGGGCTCATTTCCCAGTATGCATAGGGAGGCTCTAGTGAAGAATGTAGGTTATCTAATGGAAGACCCCCAACTTCAAAAGTGACTTTCCTTTCCTCGTAACAGTGCTTAACCAAATCTTTGTAAAGAAACTATTATTTCAACAGAAAAATAGGAAGACACAGAAAGGGAGGCTAAGAAGCAGGTTTTGCATGCAACACATGACTCAGTACCACCCCAGCATTCTTAGTCTATAGAGGATACAGGTCTGTATGAGCTGACACAATTAAATTTCAAGATCTAAGGACTGATGCTTTACCTCTGGAAGTACTAGTTCAGCTTTAGAAGGAGAAAGAAAACTCATTTTTATCATCTGTTTTTCAAGCAGGACATATTTACTTAAGAAATAATAAAGATGTTGTTGGTCTTTTTAATATTCCTAAAATCAAATATATAGTTGTTCAAATATATGCTTTACTTAGAAAAGAGGGAAACAGAACTATTAGCAGAGCACAGAAGCTACTATGAAATAAGCACAGTAAAAGTTAGCTGTTTAAAGACACAGTATGTTTGGAAAATAAAAGTAACGGAATTAACCCACTGATAAAGAATTGCACTTAGATATGAAAATAGAATATTATGTGTATTTTCTTGACACCTTTCTAGAAGATTGCAAAATGCAAGAAGTTCAACATTTCCCTTTAAAGAAAGGATAGAAACAAACCTCCTGGCTTTGAGAGGGTGGACTGACAGGAAAAGAGCTTTGTGCCTATGTCTGATTTAATTCCACCTAATTTTAGGTACTGAAATTCCTAAGTATGACACACAATTGCCTTTAGATCCCCATCTAACATCAAACAAGCCTCATTGGTCACTCAGATCTTAATGGATTTCTGGAGGTGCTTCACCCCTCTCCTTTGATAATGCAGGGAATCTAGGAAGAGAAAGCTGCCAACATACACATCCAATCTAGGTGAGTAACATTAGGTTTATGATAAGCACCTAAAACAATATCACATAGATAATTATTGAATGACTTCATTCCTCAGGGTTAATACATTTTTTAGAAGACTGCATAATCTTTTCTTGACCTGATAAGAGTCTGTTTTCCTGCCTTCTTTTTCAGATGAGAGTTAACAATTCAAATATTTAGTTTGACAGTTAAGATTTTAATCTAGCAAAATCAGTAAATACAACTTATCCAAACTGTTTTAAATCCTAGAGATTAAATTGATGAATTAAAATTTAATTCACTTTTTACAAAGATACATTACTAATAATTGCCAATGTTGGAGTACTCTTTATTTATTATTTCAGTATTAATCAAAACAGGTGTAAATATACCGCAAGGAATATCAGCTGTATTAACTTAGCAAGCACATTTATCTTACAGTGTTACTTGAAAGCCACACAACTCCATTTTGCATATTATTATATATGTACTGTTTTTGTCACCAGGCAAGGTAAACTGCAATTCTTCTCATTTTTATAATTAGAATATGAAATTAAGTCTCCACTCTGAAGACACCAATATTTTTATTTCACAGCTAATAGGAAACAAATAAAAAAAAAAGTATGGAATAGCTGTGAGAAATGAATATATTTTCTCAGGCAGATAACAGTGATAAACATTCTAAAGCCTTCTTGAGCTGACTTCAGTAATTTTTATTTTTTGTTTCCAAACATATATATTTTGTGTATATACATATACAGATATACACAGATAAGTTATAGTCAGGAATGACAGAGCACACTAATAACTATATGCAGTTTCCCCACATAGAAAATAAGCTGTTTATTGTGAAGAAGGAATTTCACTCCACATAAGCATCATCTAAAAAAAAATATTTTTTTTTTGTTAGAACCAAACATACTCCAAAATCAACTGGTGCAATGTCCTATTAAAATCAATCTTGTAAGGAAGTGCATTTTTCAGAATCATGGTTTAGATATACAATGTTCTAATTTCATGCATGCAAGGATTTTCACTGAAGACATAAACGAAAATTTTATGCCATGGAACCACCTCTCAAGTATCGAGAGCACCTCAACATTGAAATCACTGTAATTTTAATTAAAATCACTCAATACTGATCTCTGCAGCTTGTTGCAAAAACACATTTGTAAAACAAAAGCAAAGCAACTGGTTCAGTTACCTTAGAAAAGTTATTTTTTTTCATCTATTACCTTTTTCATGAAGCTCACATCTTGCCTTGAAATTTTGTCTCGTTTTATCTTTAGATCAGAAACATCTGGTATTATTCTACAAAGGAAACAAAAATGTCATTTTAGCACAAAGAAGTTGAAAAGGAAGAGGATGTGAAATATATGAACTATTCAAACAAATCTTGAAGCAATTTCCATTTTAACTATATCCATGTTTAATAACAACATTCAAATTTCAGTTGAAGAGAGAGAACCATAAACAGAATTACAACAACCACTTATATTTTTTTCTCTACATAAAATACCGTATTCTGTCTTCCACAGTTACAACTAGCAGATATTTGGAATGGTCATTTAGGGTATCATGCACTTACCTGTAAAACTCTTGCCATCAATAAATGATTCTAAGCATTTATCAAAATAGTACATTAACATTCCATATTAAGAAAATTTTTTTAAAACCAACAGTACTTATCACTCAAATATTGAACTAGAATTTCAAGTAGGTCAAAACAAACAAAGAGAATTACCGAATCCCTCTGAGCTTTGCTCTGTTGTCATGTCGATCAATGAGATTATGCAGTATTTCCAAGACCAGCTGCCTTAGCTCAGAGTCTTCCATAAGTGAAGGAGACAATAATGGGTCCAGAAATGGGGGAGGAAGTGCATTAGTTATCGTTGTTGCTTTGTATCCTGAAGTCACCTGTTCATTGTTGGAAATAAAATTCATGTGTATCATTATTGCCTTATAAGAATTACTTGCAGCTGTCACTCACTTTCTGGTGGGCTTGCTTTGGCATCTGAAAGGTGGACTCAAATGGAATTATTGCACTAGTTTTGAAAATTCCTACACTCACTATGAATTTGGAAGGGCTTTAGTACTCATGTTCAAATCAACTCCCTCACCTGTTTTAAAGTGGTATTTCTTAGCATCCTTCCTCTGCCAACATACCCAAAAGAAAAAATAAAGGTATCATTTATGACATTTTTTTGAAACATGCCCTTTGGGTCCTTTGCTGCCTGCCAGGGTTAAACCACAACATGTGAGCAAGCACTAGTCCTACAACATAACTGAACAGGTTGAAAAGAAACTGGTTGTCCGAGGAGTGTGAGGGCATATGAAGGTATCTAATAAATCATTTTGAAAATGGAAAATTACTAATACTACAAGAAGTAAGGCTGTGAATAGAAGTGCATACTACTTTTAATGATGTGCCAGATTTTAACTGCCTATACAACATTAAGTTGTCTGCCTGTGTTATCTGCAACAGACTAATTGTGTCATGAAGTATTATTTTTTTGCAAAGAACATACGATGTACAATGCTCAGTTCAGTACACAGAACAGGGAGGGTTCACCGGTTTGTAGTTCGTTATTATGTGTGCAGACTACACCATATATACCACAACAAAAGCTTTGCTCTGAATACAAATTCCTTCCCACATTTTTTTCACCATACTTACTAATGTCTGAGTAATTCATTAAGCATGAAAGCATTCACTTTCACATCTTTGTGCCATAATGGGATTTTACCTCCATAGTCCAAAAGAGGACCAAAAACAAAATTCAGTGTCAAAAATTTTAATTCATTCCACATGCACAATTTGAATCCCTTAAAACATACTTATAGGCTATGGAGCACCCCAAATAATTAGAACAATTCTCACTGACTTCAATGGAAATTTTTAAAACTGGTGAGATGAATATTACCAGGAACAATTTAGGCATATCTGAGTTTATCTTTAATGAAAATAATGTGCAAAATGACCCCGAGGTCCTTTCTAACAACCCTTAAACTGCAACTGTGAATGCTCAGCTCTTCTGCAAGCCAGAATCTATAATTTCATATTCTGACAAAGAACAGTTTAACTGATTTGTCTAACAGCACACACAAATTTCTCATCAAAGCAGGGATAGAAACTCATTTTCCAGGAAGGCATCTAATCCTTCAGTAATGAAATAATTCTTTATGTTATTCCCCTACTTCAGGCACTAAATAGATTTCAGCTTCTGCAACAAAATAGGCCAGGATTCTACAGTCAAAAGCCTCCTTTACTACCCACTTCTGATTCTGAAATAAAACAGGATGTATTTCCAGAAATACTCTTGGAAAGTTTACAGTTAAAAATGTATTTGTGATAAAACAGTTAATTATACCTTACGAGAAACTTCAGGAATACTAGGGAGGGATTAACAACGGTGCCTGACGGTCTAAGGGCTTGGAGATAGACATCCATTCCTAGCGTTAAAAATATTAGCCATTCTACTAATTACAGCTTTTCTGGTGTCAGAGACAAAAGTGATTTCACTTTCATGTTGCTAGCAGTGCTGGCAGAACTAGTCAACTCAACCTACTCTACAGTATTCTTTTGTAACTGCAGATAGTCACTGATATTCACTAAAGTGTGCTAAGAGAGGGAGGAATATTTCTTGAGCTGCTGTTGATGTAAGTTGGGAAAATGCTGTCACAATTTTACCCAGCAGAACTGCAGATCTATGCAATATGAAGGTTTGTTTCATTTCATAATACTTATATGTAAAAATGTATACATAAAGTGAAACATTGTAGATTATAACATAATATACTGAACATAAAGGGCTTACCATAAGTAAAGATCTCAATAACATGATTTGAATCCTCCTAGTTCCCAAATCTCTACAATTCAAAAAGGTGAAAATTAGTTTCTTTGCATATATTCAAAACATTATTCTACTTGAGACATCATTCTAACAACTGCATTTTTGACAAGTGAATATAGAGGTCTCTGAAGGGGTGCTGGATGGCCACAAATAAGGGGCTAATATCTCCAAAAGAGATGCAATAACTAAATGTTTTTGAAAGGGACATTTATAGGAATGCTTAAAAAACAAAGCACATACAATTGAAAAAACGGTAAATGGTACATGTGAAGCAGATCTATTGTTTTAGAAATGTCCAACTGCTACATACCTGACAATTTTCACAAGCATCAGCACTCAGAATTTCTTCTGAATTAAAATGTAATTGACTCTTTTAAGAAACCAGGACACTTGTTGTTTAAGTCAGACCCCAAAACTTTGAGACTGAAAAAAGTTATCTGCAAAATCAGCAAGAAAAACTGAAAGAACCCTCAGTTTCCAGGTCACAGGAAGGTATACCACTTCACAGAATCACAGAAACACTGGGTTGGAAA